TAAAAATAGTAAAATATTAGAATATTAAAAAGTTATTAAAGTTTATAATATTATTAATAACTAAAAAAGAATACTAGTTATATAAGGCTTTTATTTATAAAGAAAATAATAAAAATTAAAATATAAAAAAAGTAAAAAGTTATTTTTATTATTTTTAAAAAAGTTAATTTTTTTATTTAAGTTAATTATATTTTATATATAAGAAAAGCTAATTTAAATTAATATAATATTATCTATATAATACTAAGAAGAAAGATAACTATATAATAAAGAAAATAGAATATTAAATATAAAAATAAAAAGGTAGTAAAAAGTAAATAAAGTAAAATAAAGAAATCTAATATTTTTATATTATAAAATAACATTATATTATTTATATTAAAATATTAAAAAATAAGTAAAAAAAATATATAAACTTTATTAAATTCTTTTATTATTTATTTATAAATTCCTTATATTTTAATCTATTATTATTATTAAATTACTTTAGTTAAGTTAATAAGTTTATTTAGTACTTCTTATTTTTTTTTTAAAAAAATTAAAGTATTAAAAAGAAAATCTATTTTACTTTATAAAATTATTATTATTTTATTACTATATTAATTAGGTTTAACTAATCTAGTATAACTTACTTGATAATATAGATAAAAGAAATATGCAGACCAATCAAGGGGAGCGGATAAATACTACAGAAATTGATATAGACTGCTGTTTACATGCTGTATACTACGAAAATCCTGACAAGGCAGCTGTTGAAATTACAGCAAGGCTGAGCGGCGGATAAGCAGCGATCGGGGCTAATAAGCCTGCGGGCGCTGATTGGGGCGACGCCTTCAAGCCTTCAATGTAATGAGGACTTTCGTTAGCTCTGTCGAAATGAGGTTGCTTAAATTAGTGGCTTGTGTCACATTTGCAACGGCCAACAAAGCCTTTGCAACAGTGAAATAATGCTACACCTCAAAGCAGTATTTGGCATGTCAGCAAGTATGCGAGGATTTCACAAGTCGTATCATGTACGGACCTCTGCGGTGTAATATCTGTCGTTTCCTCAACAATTGAATGCGTGAATCAGTCTCTAAAACGATAGCTAAAGAGCTTGCTTTCGTAGACTATAGTTTTCGTTCTTTTTTGTTGATTACTCAGTTTCCATAACAATAGCCCGGTACCTCCTTGTTGAACCCTCAACTGGATGAACAGTAGTCGCAGTCGTTTGGCCTTCTGATAGACATTGCATTTCGATCCATTTTGCGAAGTTTACAACAGGTATATCCACTGCTCTCCAAAACACATCCGCCAACCAGATCACTGTCGGGATGCACAGCATGGCACCAAGAGCAAACCCAATATTGTATTTGCATCCTTCAACACCAGTCAAGGTATAAGCCATTCGAAACAAGTGATAACCAATGCTGTGCATGACAGGACCTTGCATCAAATATAAAGCATATGACACTTTTCCAAAGTACTGCATCACAGGTGAGCTGAAAAATCGCCGCCAAGTCTCAGAGCGACCAGCAGCCAATACAAATGCAAATGCGCCGATGGATTGCCAATAGCGGAAGATTTCTTCTTCCCACCATTCAGGTATAAAAGACGTCAGAAACATCCATCCAGGGGCAACCTCACCCCCGTCTTCAGGCTGGGACATCAGATATAGGCCGAGAATGCTCACGAAAACCCAGGCAAGGTCTATTCGATGCCATCGTCTTTGTATCGGCCCCGTGTGACTTTTAGGCAATGCAGTAGAGCAAACATGAGCGTTGCGAGCAAAGTCTAGTTCGGCAAGAACCATGCCGCTGAAGAACAGGCACAGATCCCATCTCGAGTGAAGGTATGCAAACCACAACACTGCCCCAACAGTAAGCAATCGGATGCAGCTTTGAAAGCGTGCTGTTGCGATAATAACGAGGAAGAGGCAAAGTGAGCATCGAAATTCAACCGGTATGGTCCACAAGTGTACATCATATGCTGGAAACTCGAGTTAACATTATAGATCAGTACTCGAGCACATATACTGACTTGTCCATCCTGCAAATCCATCCCAGGTAAAAACATTAGCAAGGCGGAACATTACAATCATCCAGTCTTGAATTTGTGCGTAAGACGATTGCAGGCGTTCTGGATGAGGTTCTAAAATATATTTCAAGTACCTGGGATCATTTGCGAACTGGCGCGTCAGTTCGTACGCTCCGACCCGTAAAAGACAAACGACTATGAAGGTGGAAATGGCTGTTGGTAAGTAAAGGCGAATACCACGTCGAAAAGTAAGCGAGCTCATCGTTGTAGATAAATCGCAAGTGTCCCCTCGATGGATTAAACTTAGCGGCCGATAGGACAGTGCGTAGCCTGAAATGACAAAGAAGACACAGACGGCCGGTGGTCCACCGTACAAGAGTCTGAGAAAAGGCAGCTTCATGATGTGGTAGTTGTCCTCTCCGGTGCCCCAGCTTTTACTGGTATTGAACATTTGCCAGCAAAGATGTGAGAAAAAGACAGAAAGAGCAGCCAATCCTCGCACTCCGTCCAGATAAGCTGTTGGGCCCATAGGAGGCGGGAGAAACCCTTCTCGAGCCCAATCTTTTTGTAGAAAGCTAGGCATCAAGAAGAAGGAAATTTGACTAGGAAGAGTACACAACGGCGCAGATTGAAGCGAGTCCTGTGATGCCATGATATTCCTTCCAAGCCTTTTTGTTCTAAGACACAGGCAAAATACAAAATGGAGAAACAGAAGCTTATGGCTGCAATTGAGAAAATGTAAGTAATTAAGATGAGAAAAGGTGGTAAACATGCCAACGAACTGTAGTAACGACAAGTGGCATATTTAATGCTTGGTCCACGCCTATCCAAACGACCATGTGCGACACGTGCTCTAGAATTGCACGTTCATTTCACGAACATATTGTACGGCCCACCGAAGACGCATAGATCGGGCGCCTTGTCCTCTCCGGCGTACCTGCAAAGCGAGGGGCCGGGGGCTGATGCATAGCCAAGCCAGTGATTAGCCACTCCAGGTTCTCGGACGCCTGATGCACGGCCAAGCCAGTGATCGATTGGCCACTTCAGGTCTCCATCAACCGACCGGCGCAAGTCTTCGGATGGCGCAGGCCTACTCATCTAAAACATGGGACCTACTCATCCAAAACATGGGACCTACTCATCCAAAACATGGGACCTACTCAACCAAACCATGGGACCTACTCATCCCAAACATGGGACCTACTCATCCAAAACATGGGACAGATCCAGCCATACATTCTGGAGGCCATCAACAGTCGAGCATCGACGGATACTCCGCCGTCGAGGGAAGCTTTATTTTTGACCGAACGCACAAAAGATGAAATCATTTCTACACTATACACTTTTGTCAGAAAATCTGCCTTTAAAACTCTTTATCACACAGACTTGAAAAGTTCGTCATTAGTCATGCAACTGAAAGGCTGGTTGGGACCAGCCGGGAGTCCCGTGGGGTGAACATGTTTCTGCGCGCGGGCGGCGACGTGCCGAGCAACGCGGCCCGCAGACCGTGTGGGGTTCGGCCGGCTTCGCACCCTGTAGGGCCATCCGCATTCATGTTCAACGACACTACTAGTTTTGCGGTTTTCTTTCCCGCTTTAGAAACGTGTGATGGCAGGCTTCCGTCCCTCATGTATACTAACTCATGAATGCTACAATGCACATACAAAGTATGGATCAAGTCAACCGTGACCCTCCGAAGCTCGTATAATAGGCAACAAGGTCCTCGCCGAATCCGTGGCGTATATAGGTCATCTCGGAAGCGCTTTCCGACGCTTTAGAATGCACCGGGCTGTGCTGATATATACAAAAGCAGCTCCGGAGGCCGATGGGCCGAGCCAAGAAGCAGCCTTTCGGGACGAAAGCTTTCCAGCTCGACTAGGACACACGCTCGCACTGTTCTGGCAATGTAGCAGTGCATTTCACTAACGCTGATCGTAAAGTACCTGAAGAATTTGATGCCCCGTTGTTAGATGTACGGGACATATCGTTCGACCTTATCTCTGCTAGGCTGCGACACTTTAATTGCCGCATGGATTGGCTGCGGTCATGAAGTAAGACATAGATTTCGAACACATGTCATGCGCTTAGAACAAAGAATTCGGTCTACTCTATATATTGAAGAGGGCGTAGAAAAGTTACAAATACATCACCTAATCCTCACAATGTAATAGATTTGCCCTTCATTCGATACATACATTTCAACACCTTCGACGCATCTACTTTTGCAGTGCTTTCTATATCCTCGCAAGCCACACTTTGTGCTTCACGATGCAATTCTCAGTAGGCATTCTCGCACTTTTCGCCGGCGTCGCTATGGCTGGCAAGATCTGCACTCCAGCTGGTAACGTAAGTGTGTTGTGCCGCTGTGCACATCAAATCCACCATGTAATCCAACGATCCTCTGACCTGAGCGGCATATCTAGAGATGTCCCGCGACTTATCCTTGCTGCCCCGGCCTTCGCTGCATTGGCGGCAGAAATGTAAGTAATTATCTTGACGTGGATCTGCAAAGACGATGATATGAAGTAATATACTGACTCTGGCGGTCATAGAACAAGATCGTGAGTCGACATGTTACTAACATTACAGAAGCGTGTACTGATGACAATGGTAGTGCCGATAATCATAGTGTCGCAGCTTTTAAGCTTGGTATGCTTCGACCGTTGTATGGAGTTCTCCCCTGGAGTCTAAGCTCGGCCTGTCGACAGGGGATCTGCTATACTTAGTCGTATTACAGTGATACTAATGATAGAAATGCATGTGTTTATCTATACGTACTATGATTTCAGGCTTAATTATACTTATTTATAGCTTAATATCTAGTTATGCCGCTAGCCGGTCGAGGTGAGAGAGGATAAGAGAATAAGAGGAAAGCGGCAAGCAAGCTAGGAAAAGGGGGCGTCGAAAAGCTTCACCAGGGCAACTAGAGATAGCAGCGCGGAAAGGCGGCAACGAGCTGAGAGCAAAAGGATACAAGTAAGCAAATAGACAGGCGAAAGGCTGCCAACCGTCGGGCGTCGGGAGTAGGAGAGCCAGAAAGCCACTGGCGACAAGTAACTAGTAAGGAACCTACTAAATAAGGCATGTACGTAACAAGCCATGGGCTAACACAATGATTTCACAAAGTCACAAAGTCACAAATACACAAAAGAACAAGTGTGGATGCTAGCAACGAAACCAGAAGTAGAAGAGATCCGGAAGTATAAGAGACCCGGAAGTGGAAGAGATCCAGAAGTGGAAGAGATCCAGAAGTGGAAGAGATCCAGAAGTGGAAGAGATCCAGAAGTGGATTGCAAGGAGGATTTCACAATGACAAGTTTGTTTTTTTCTTTCTTTTTTTTTTGCTGCCAGCTCGTCTGTTCGGATAAGAAAATTCTGCCGGCCCAAGACTTTACCATTTTAAGCCAATGATAGTCCGATTGCTTCACCTGCACTTTTGTTCACTTGTTCTTTTTTTTGGCCAACGAGGCGTTTAGCGCATTGCTATCTAGCAAGTTCCTGGCCAGTTGGTCCGTCATTGGTCGCTAGTGGCTTTGCAGCCTGATGCCTGACGATTTTAGACACGCCCAGACTTAGCAGGTCAGTAGCTTTCCGCTCGCTGATTTGTTCATTCGTTATATTTCGCGCATGAGTCGATTATCAATACCCTGATATCGATCTAGTTGATGGCATGCGGCTTCTGATGGCTTGCGGCTTCCCCACGTTGCCATGTTTTGCGGGTGAGCAACGCCTTGCTTGTTCATTTGCGAGCAGAATCCGGCTCCTAAAGACAAAGGCAATAGCGTACGGCGAAGGGAACCTCAAAAGATGACATCGGTTCTGACGTGCGTATTGAAGCACCCATGACGCAGCCGGAAAAAGAGAGATTCAGAAGTAGAAGAGATCCAGAAGTGGAAGGGATCCAGCAATTGGATGGACGTGAGGAAAAGTGGAAAGGTCCAAAATCGGAAGCCCGGAGTGGATTTTACTCTTCACCGACCAACTGCCCCTCGATCTAAGCACTGTTGCGGGTAAATCCCAGTCTTCTGGGTCAGCCTATACGATAGTCACGTCCCCTAGCAACCAGGACAGTACTCTCAGCCGTGTCCCGATCTTTCAGTCAAGCGCGAGCAGAGAGAACTAGACTTAGAGGCTCTACGGTATAGTATCTAGAGAAGGCCAGACAAGGCTAAGCGTATCTTAGATAGTATAGCCTCTAAGACTATTAGCTAGTGTTACTCTAGTATACTAAAACCTAATAAGAAAGATAGCTATATTTAGATTTTATTTAAGGGCGTAAATAAAATCGCTCTCTTATATTAGCTTATACTTTAGGCAGATAGACTCTAGTATAATCCTATATATACTAGTAAGTATATAAGTCATATATATATAAACCCGCAATATATAACACTAGGGTAACTTGCCGTCGAAGACGCTATGATTAAAATCTTATAAGGGATATAGGAAGGTTAAAGTATATAGGCACGCCGGCTATTCTAGGTAGGTATACTTTTATGATTATAAGCCGTGTTATATTTAATTTGTCAAAGGCCTCGCCTCTTAGGAGGAATTCTAAGCAAAGGGCGAGTATTACTAAGGTATGTTAATATTACAGGCGGTTAGGTTCTAGAGCTTAGATCATGTGTGAGAGTCTAGGACGACTACTTACGCCTAGTCTACTATATACTGATTGCTGAATAGCACTGGCATATTGTAGGCTACATACCTAGATGCGGGGACGTCTCGTTAGGCACACAGTACCAAGCAGTGCTTGTAACACTCCACTGTTCCAATGACACGGGTACGGCAATAATCTATGTGACAATACGCAGCTGAGTTAGCTGCCTCGAAAGAGGATGCTGGCCGGTTCAACGCTCGCTAAGGTGTGGGTTGTGACCAGTCTTAAATATATTTACGGTCATGGCTTGAGGTACGGGCTACGCCCACCTAAGAGGGTGATACTGTCTACTAGAAGTGCACTCTGAGAAGCAGTACATGTGGGGAGTCCTTACTCTTCGCAGGGTATCACGGAACTAGCTTGTGGCGGCTAAGCGTTCATAGCGACGTCGCTTTTTAATCCTTCGATGTCGGCTCTTCCTATCATACCGAAGCAAAATTCGCTAAGCGTTGGATTGTTCACCCACTAATCACCAGTATCTGCAGCCGCCGTGATGATGTGCTCGACATCAACATGTCCATTTCGTAACCAATTACCGATGCACTCAAGCCCCAGGTTACCTGCTGTCATCCGAAGCCTGTCCCATGACTGCGCACGACGAGCCCTAGAAAATGTTCGTTCTGGCTCTGCCGAGGAGGGAGAGATTGAGAGTATGTCGATGGTCATACGGTGGAGGCGTGGATAGCGCTGCCGTTGCTCCGGCAAGCACCACCATTCCAGGCGCGTTAAGGGTTTGATGGAAATAGGCCTGGCGTTCAGAAATACCTGCACAATCCTCATCCGTCACTTCAGCCAGCTCAACCTGCAGAGAGCGCTTCAACCGATCTAGCTCGTTTCTCGGCTGATCTGCAGAGGGCGGACAGTCATCCACTTGCATTATATCGTTCTCACACTGTGCAAGGGGCATGCTCTTATAATTATCTTCCTAGATGCGCTGTGTGGTACGAAGAGCCTTCTGATGCCACTGCTCCAGCCAGTTCTGCGTCAGATATCGCCCTCTCTTCGAAGGGCCGAGCAGGATCGCCGCGGCGTACACGGGGACGGGGTCGGTAAGCTTATAGTACTTGTTGAGGATGAACCACCCCATCTCGATTGCATGAACTATGCCGAGATTCTTTTGCTCACCAGATGAGTAGAGACTCTATCGGTATAGTTAGCCCTTTGCTGGCCACGCTAGCAGGCGCGACGAGAGCAGTAGGAGATCAGACATAGTTGAGATTCCATAGGATGGCTTAGAGGTAGATAGTAAAATGTAGCAAGTCATATGTTATGTTATAGACTAATAGTCTAGACTGCAGTCTGGACTGCAGTCCGGTCTGACGATGACGGACGGACGGACGGACGGACGGACTGACGGACGGCGACGGTCCAGTCTGGCAATGACAGACGGACCAACAGTCTGGTCTGACGATAACGGACAGACCATCGGTCCAGTCTGTCGATGACGGACCAGCGAATA